ATTGTTTCAGCAAGAAATAATCATCCCTGAGGTGTAAGGGAAGGCCATGTCTCCTCTAGTCTGTATTTAGGCAAAACTCCCTGCAGGCAGTAGGGGGGGGGGGGGGGGGGCAGCACTTGGAGCATCAGCAGTGTCTCCAGATGTAAGTTCATTGTGATGGGGGCAAGTGGCTCTTGGCAAGTGGCTCTTCCATGGCAGAGGTGGGGATGCGCAGATGGAGCAAACTGGAAAACGGGAATGGAGGTGAATGTGTCTGAGTGCTGTGCTTGGGTTGGGGGCAATCCCAGCCGCTGGGACTGTGGGTGATGGATGAGGCTTTGGGCACACAGACTATGGGAGGTGCCCCAGCCCATGGCCGGGTTGGGTCTGGGCTGGTTTAAATGTCCCTTCCAACTCAACTGTGAGCACACAGTGGAGCCAGGGAAGGGCACAGCACAGGTTGGTGCAGCCCCTTTGTGTTCTTGTAGAATAGGGGAGAAACACCAGGAACAAACCCCCTCTACCGGCTGCTCACGCCCTATGTGCAGCAGCTTCATTGTGATGGACGGCACTAAGTGAATGTGGCATTTCTTTGGCTCTCGCTCACGTGCTTCTCTCCTCTGTCTGGTGTACGTGACAAATGAGCTGCTTCTGTTTTATAGGGAAGTTTGTTAAAGGGCAGGCTTGGAAGGCTGGAAGCATAGCTGTGCAGCCCCGGCTGGAGCAGACATGAGATGAATATATATCTGAAGACAAAGGGAGGCTCTTGCCAAGAGAAAAATCAAAAGTTGTTTTGCGTGGGGGAGCCAGATTCCCTTCTAAGGCATCCTATACATCAAGGCTTAATCCTGCAGTGTTTGGTTTGGCAGCAGTCCTACTATACAAAATACACATTGGTGCTATAAAAAGAGCAAACAGCACTGCCACGAGGAGCTGTATCCCATGTCCTGCAGTGGTGCAGCAATGACATGAGCCTCATTTAGGGCCATGTGTGCACCACCACTTTGCTGCACCATGTATTATGCTAAAAAGAAATCTGTGTATTTTCCAGTTTTCAGATCAGAGGATACAATTTCTGAAGCTCCTTCCATATCCAAGGTGTTTCTCAGGAATGTATGCAAAGCTTTGGCTTTGGCCCTTCTCTCCCTGTTAACATTTGCATTTGTTCCCATGTGCCTTTGTCTGCCTGGAAACACATTGGGGTGAGGTCTGATAGCATCCAGTCCCAAAAAGCAGCCAGAGCAGCGCTTTCTTCATCACTATCTCTGATGCCTCCCATTTCTAATGGGCACTCTTTCAAACCATGCCAGTTTGGCCTTGGGTAAGTAGATAGAGTTACCTTCATATTTGCAGCATGACCTCAGCTTTCCTCCACCTACTGCAGACTCTCTGGTTATTTAAAGAACCCACAGGAACTAACCCTGTGAGATTTTTATTATTTAAAAATCCCCAGCAGCTATGCAGCCCATGAGACAGAGCCTTGTGAGCTCTGCACCAGGCAAGATCCTGCCCACCAACAGCACTGTTCTAGGAGTTGAATCCTCCCAAGGTGTCTTTCTCTGGGCACAATGATGCTCCTGGAGCTGCCCTATAGGATCCAGAGCATTGCTGCTGTCTTGGGGAGAGACAGCATCACCAGGTTCTGGGCATAAACGGTTTTTCTATGCCTATGAGAAAAGCCTGGACCAAACCATCCAAATCCCTACGCAGGCAGGATCAGATGAGAGAGAATGATGTCAGTTTAACCTTCTGAGCTGGTGGTTAAGAAAACAAACAGAAAACCATCTGATGCTCCTGAAGTTGAGTGCATTTTTAGCAAGAGCACAGTTCCTGTGATTCCATGGCAGCCTGGGAAATAGACTTCAGTGATCAACACATACAGAGACATGAAGCTTAGCCCCCAAAACAGAGATTCCCAAGTTCCAGTCAATGGAAACGTTGTCCATACATCTCTTGTCTCCCCTGCTGCATTGAAGGCAGCTAAAAATACTCTTTAGCCATTCCTGATCTTTTTATCACTTCGGCTGTCGCTTTGGTTGCGGGGATCCTGCTCTGTTGTTCCCAATGGTGTGTGGTCACAGTATCTCCAACCCTCACATCCCACCAAAACGGGGTTTGCTACAGTTTATTGGGAGCAGAGCCAAAGCTGACCCATGGCCTGGAGAATTTTTCCAATTTTTTTCTTCAAAACAGAGCAGGGATTGCCTAGGCCGAGTGGGATGTTACCCCAAAAGAGGCCAATATGCAGATAAAGCTTTTTAAGGCTATGGGTGCTCAGATTTCACATTCCCCATCCCAAAAATGGGTTGGAGGTGTGTAGATACACTCTATTTCTGCTCAGCTTTTTCTTGGAGATTTTTCCAGTGAGGAAAATCATATAGGAAAAGGACCCTGACGTTCCATTGCCCAGTCGATGCTGGAGGAGACTTTGGGGCTCCAATGGAGGAAAGGATTGGGGACAGCTGAGCCATGCACAGCCGGAGGGATGTGCCAGGAAGGATTTGAGATGGGAACAGAAAGTGGAACACAGAAATCCCCTTGCAATTGAAGTGACCTCATATACTAAGCTCAGTTTTCCACTCACTGTGGTATTTCTGCATGCTGTTCTCCATTCCTATTAATTCCTCCAGCTCTGAAAAAGGCCCCACTAGTTACTGGCTGTGAAAAACCAGAAAAATCCCTGCTTGTGCTGAGGACAGGGTCAGCCCATGGCATTTCTTCAGGCCACATATGCAGGCACTGCGACACAAGAAAATACCTTTGTGAAATGGTATTTTGCCTTCTTCTGCTAGCAAGAGGGAGCTCTGAAAGCATTTAAATCTTAAAAGATATTTAAATTATCTCAAGAAACATAAGCAGTTTATTCTGGCAGAGTGCTACAGGCTTTCAGCCACTGTCTGTGTGCAACATGATTTATTCTGTTGTTTTTACAAGTGACTTTATGTCTGTTTCTTTTAAAAAAAAAGTGTGTTACATTCTTCAGCAACACAAATAGCAAAAAGAGGCTTCTGCCATGTCACGGCTGCTTCCATCGACCCCCTTTCAAGAACCTTACCTATGAGTTGGAAGGGGCTTTCTTTGCCAAAAATAGGAAGAAAAAAAAAAAAAAAGGAAAATAAAAGAAGAAAAAATGAATAATTTGCATACTTGCCAAACAAAGAACTCTGCAGCTGCCCAAAGCCAGCCATGTGCTTAGCAGCATTGCACGCACAGCTCATTGCTTTGCACACACTGTTCTGAAAACAGCATTTCTTGAGGAAATTTAGAAGAAATTCATCATGATCAGATCTATGAGGCCCTGGCACTGCTGCCCACAGAAGTACAGGTTCCTGATCCCTGAAGGTGCCCAAGGCCATGGATGAGCTCTGGACAACCTGAGCTGGTGGGGGACACTCAGCCCACAGCAAGGGATGGGGCTGTAGGGCTGTGAGATCCCTTCCAAACTGGTAGCTCATGTTTTCAGGAGCTAAAAAGCATGAATCTTTTGCTGAAACAGGGCTGGGCGTATTAAGGCTGAACTTCCTTGTAGAAGCTTTCTTTGCGTTAGTTTTCTTTGTGGAATAAAATATTCCAGTAGCATCAAAAACCAGTGGGTGCTGGGTCATTAAGCAGAGAGGAAGAAAGAATGTGGGAGGAAACATGTTTAGGTATTTTTAGCAGTTGTGCTAACTTGCCCTTGTTAGAGGTTGCTCAGTGAACTGCATTAAGCATTATCCTGTGGTTGTGAGGCTCTGAAAATCGCAGAACTGTAGAGGTTGGAAGGGAGCTCTGGACACGCTGCCGGCTCATGGTTAAGCCACGGTCAACCGTTGGTCAACTGTTGGTCAACTGTTTGATCAATGAATTTGATGAAGCCCAGCGTAAATTTGTGTAGTTCTTTAATAATAATCAAGATCAGCAAGAATAATGACTGAATTTAACAAATGACACATGCAACAAAGAGAGGGAATAAAACATCATTGCACAGCACTGGCTGAGGTGAAAGAACATAATCCAACATCACATCAGAAGACTCATTTCTTTTCCTTTGCTGCATCAGCACCGCATATAGGACAATGTCACTGCGCACAGAGAGCTCCAAAGCCAGACATTCTGCAAAACTAACAGTGACAGAAGATGTTTTCATGCACCAAGGAGCAGAGGAAGAATTCCAGTGGCCACCAAAGCTCATATGGGTGAATGCCTCAAAATGCAGCCAGCAATAATGTGTGATGTTAGCGATTATAAAACGTGAGTTTTTGTTGAATGTAGCTGCTGCTTGGTCCTCTGGTGCAATGATAGAAAGCTGTGCTTGAATTGAACACAAAGAGATAATCAAAGTGATCTATTTTGAGCCAAGAAAATTCTTTATTAATGCCATCAGACATCTGTTTATGGCTGTTTAGACCGACCCTACATGTGAACATGTAAAAGTAGTAAACAGAGATATCTGCTGAAGTCCTTTGAAATCATGGAGCAGATGTAGTGCTACTCAGCTCCTTTTGATCTATAATGAGTCTTTACTTAACAACTGGCTAGTGCAGATTGATAGCCTGTGTAATGTGTATCTAGGAAAGTTCTATACAGAGAGAATACATAGGGTGCCATATATCAGCACATGGCGCACCAGCTAATTCAACCTAATTTACATAGCATTAATTGTCAGTGAGTTCATTTCATTTTGGGCCCAAATTTTCCTCTTAATACCTTAAATTCGGTTCTGATGGTGGATGTACAAAACTCTTCCCAATGCATTGAAGGTTGGGCAGCCCAGCAACCTCATGCCTCAATTAGTGCTGTGTAAAGCAGGTGCTCGTCACTACAGGAAATACTTGTACATTAAAAAAAAAAAGCCATACAACCACAAAGAAAAAAACACAACAAGCACAGCTTGATACAATAACATGCCATGAAATGTCACTGGCTTTATAATAATTTACTACAACTTGAAAAATGTTCTTTTATCCTCCACACAGGATAGGAAATGCTTCCATCTAACATATGGTAAGCATGCAGTAATAATATGTACAACAACAACAAAACAAAACAAAACAAAAAAAGTTTATTCATAAACGGGATGAGTACATGGAGGTATTCTGCAATGATTATTTTTCTAGCCCAATGTATGCTTCGTTTTGCTTCTTTCCTACTGTGGATTTTTTTTCTCCTCTGTTTGCAGAGAAGGAAAATTCCTATATACATCTGCAAGAAGTGAGTTTCAGTGATGGAGCATACACTGCCATTATTTTTTTCCCCAGCAGTAGCTTTAGATTTATGGGTTTATGTTTACTGCTTAATTGACACACACACACACACACACAAAAGCCTAAATGCCGTATTGCTGAAAATCAATCTCTTTTCCAACCTGTTTTGGAATACTGAGGTTCTGTTGAGGGAAATATTTATTGATCCTGTTTTACACCGTACTCTTTCAACATCTCACCAAATCCCATTCATCACCAGAGGGAATCCAACCAATTTGTGTTGGGTTGTTAAAGGCTTCCCACTCCAACATGACCATGACAAAGTCATCTCATTGAACCAACCGCGCCTTCTGCCTGATAGAACTTGACATAGTGAGTGGCAAAACTGGGTTTTGCTCCGAACTGGGGACTGCTCTGTGCCGCCTGCAGACAAAACAGTGTTGGGGTGAACAGCCACCCTTCAAATGAGTCTTCAGATCCATTGTAGCTGTTGTGTTTATGGCACCTAAAAGTGGCACATAGACCAAATGTGGCTTAGCTTGACCCTGGGTCTCACGGTCAGGCTTCATTCACAGGATGTCCTTACCAAGAGGTCCCAAGCCAGGTCTCCACTGAGCCTTTTTCATTTGTACTTTTTCCTCCTTGAGGTTTTTTTTTTTTTTTTTTTTTTTTTTTTAATAGCACGAAAAGCTAGAATTATTATTTCCAACAGCACTGAAGTAAGCACTTGGCAATGCATTTTTTTACCTGGTACAAGATGATATGAGCATAAGAAATAAGAACCCTTAGATATTCATAGAACAAGAGAGTTTTACCCTTCATGACTTGGCAATTTCCAGTCCTTTCATGAGAACCAATCCTGACCATAAAACAGACTGAAGCGCAGCAGTCTCCCCTATTGCTATCACTAGGCATGTGCTCAGAAAGTTTGCTGTGGTGTGGAATACGGTGGTAGTCCCACAAAGAGGAAAGCATGGAGAAATGCATCCAGTGCATTTCTTGGAAGACTGATTCCCATCTTGTATCTGGTGTGGGATTTTTGCCATAGTCAACAACTGCGTAGAGAAGTGATGTTGCTGAGAGTTGACAAGAGTGAGTAAGTACACTGGCTCTTTGAGTTTGGAAGACATCTGCTACTCATTCAGGAAGGGAAAACAAATAATAAAAATCCATGTGGAAATATTTTCAGGGCTAAAGTACGTAGTTTACAGAAAAAAACAGGAATGCATCAGTGGTAACCATTTCAAACTGACAATAACAAGGAGTCCAAGCAGACTGGATTTAGAGAAATTGATACGCCTAGTCACCTATTTGTACTAAGGAACTTTCCTTTAAGAATGGAAAACAGCATTAAATTATAGTGCTGAACTGCAGAGGTGTTAATTAGATGGATGTAATTAGTCTAAGCCAAATGCAAAGATTCTTCTGTCAACCAGACCTTCCCCAGATTGCTGTGAGCCCCTCTGTCCCAGAGGGAGCACCAATATGCTGTGTCACTCCTGTCCTCGTGGGAGGAGGCTGCAGCCTGGTGATTGATTCACTGATTGCGCTGATTGATCTTCCATGTGATCCATTTGCCTGGTGGCACTTCGTTTTCATTCACCTGCACTTCCACATCCCAACATACCCCAAACCAGACACCAGAGACCTACCCCTTCTTTTTGGACCCTCAAAGGTGACCTTCCCTTCTCCAATTCACAGGCCATGAGAACAGCTGCCCACCATCAATTCTTCTCCAGATTTATGGTGTTTCTGTGGTTGCTGACTTACTGTTGTCCTTAGTCACCTGGCCGCTGGCATGCAACCTGGCTTTCTGTTATCCCATGAGTCTCATATGGTTAATTTGTGCAGATGTCTTCAGAAGGAGCCTTTTGCAGCTCTTCCCTGGGGAGAACCTTCAATCATTTTTTCAATTTATCCCGGAATCACTGGTGATGAGGCATGGGGAAGCGGTGGGGAGAGCGTTGCTGTAACAGAGCTGGAGTCACTCCTGCAGTCTCTTGGCTTTTCTTGCTTTAATAGTTTGGTGGCACTGATGCTCAAGGGGTTTTAAAGACAACAGAAAATGAAAGGAGAAAGGCGATGATGAAGTCGTTCATTCTGTCCCATTCCAATACTGGTGTGGCTTCCTCTGTCCCCCCACCCCCCACCCCAAAGACAGACATGATACAGTACTGCTGAAAAAAACCTCAAATGCTTCTAGAAGAGATGGAACCCCTAGACTGTAGGGCGAGGAGGGGGCCGGGATGGAGGGGGTGCCCTGTTTGGTGGTGGGACTTGAGGCAGTGGGGGGAGAGGGGGGAGCGTGGAGGATGGGGACGGGGCATGGGGTGTGGGAGAGCTGGGGGGCGGTGGGTTGTAGATGGGAACTGGCAGTGGAGGGTTGTAGACAGGGGCTGGGGGAGGGGGGGGCAGTGGGTAGGCGTTGTTGAGGGGGTATTTGGGGGGAGCGTCGGCATTCTTCACTCGGGTGAAATTGATGCAACGCCCCTGGAAGAAAAAAGAAGGAGGAAAAGCAGAGTTAGTGATGGAAGCTGATGTCCCTGCACATATGAAGCCAAAAAACTGCTTTTCTTGCTGTTCTGTGAGAACGGTGCTAAGCTACAGTTTGTTGTACATTTTTAAACAAAACCTTTGCCCTCTGAGCTATTCTTTTTTCTTTTTTTTCTCCCGAGTTCCAACCTGCAAAAGATCCCACTGTAAATACTCAAATGTCAGAATCAGCACTACTGCATTATGGATTCATTCTTTCAGATATGAAATCATCCAAAAAGGGGCTGGAGGATTTCTGAGCCTGTCCTTTGTTTTGCTGGATCTGCTTTCCTCCTTCTCCCAAAGTAAATGTTTTTCCTGGTGAAAAGATGCCAAATGGAGCACTGAGTTCACAGAACCCTTGAATCATATAGGTTGGAAAAGACCTCTAAGATCATTTAGTCCAATCATCAACACATCCCCTTCGTGCCCACTCAAAGCGCCATGGAACCATTAAAGTTGGAAGAGACCTCTAAGATTCCCGAGCCTGAGCCCAACCCACCCCACCCTGCCCACTGACCACATTCTTCAATGCCATATCCCCATGGCTCTTGAACACCTCCAGGGATGGTGACCCCACCACCTCTCTGGGCAGCCTATGGGCAAACTGTGTGGAAGAAGAACCCAAAGTGAAGGAAGGGAAATGCTGGTAGAAAGATGCTGGAAAAACGTTTGATGGGGATGAGTGGAGACGGCGAGGAAGGGACTGACACACAAAGAGATGCAGACGGCTCCGCTCTGAGCACACTGTCAATTCTATCATTATGCTCTGCAGATACCAAGAAACATCTGCCTGAGCTGTTCAGCAGAGGAAAGTGGATTCCTCACTGAAGAATGTAGAGCAGCCACGGCTGAGCACGGGCTGTCTTGTGCAGACAAAGGTCTTTTAAGGAAAACAAAGATTTCACAGCGCTCACACCCTGTGAACATCACCTCAGAGCTGCTCCTTCTGGTGGAAGGTGAACCCCTCCATGGCTCAGCCCAGGCTGTCTGTCTGCAAGAAGAGCCTGTGGCTTCAGTTTGGGCTCTCCTCGAGGAGTGGAGCTCCAGGGCAAAGCAGAGACCCATGGAGTGGCCAGAAATCCCCTCACAGAGCAATTGGGCAGAGAGAAGCCTGAACTGAGCACGCCACTGCCTCAATTCAGTGTTCCCTCTGTTCTATTTGATCTTTGCAGGCTGGTGTCTCTGCTTTAATGTTGTTTTAATGCACTTAGTTGTGATTTTAAGTAAACACCAGGGGGTAGGACTGCCGACTGAGTCAAACTCTGAACCCAAGTTAACCAATTCTGCAGAGAGAGAAACAAAACACAAGGATGTTTTCCTTGTTTTGGTTCCATGTCTCCTGCAATAGAACTTTAGCAGTTTCAGACTATTGCTTGTACCAGTTTTGTTTTCTTTATTTATGTTGAAAATAAAACAAATCCGAATGAAAAGCAGCAGTCCAGGAATTCCAGCCAGAGAACAAAAAGTTGCAATTGTTTTTGCGTGGAGACATTCTCTGTCTGGATGTTCCAGGGGTGAGGTTATGGTGCTGTGGATCCAAATGGAACTGAACACTGCCCAAACTACATTAAAGAGGGTGCAGTGACACTCAGAAATCTTTGGAGCTGGGGTCAGGGCGAGCCCTGAAGGCTGAAAACCATCTAGCATTCATGGCAGTGACCAAGGCATGGTCCAAAATGATATCATGTCCTTACAACTTTGACTTCACTGGCAAAGATTTGAGTTTTTATTGATGAGAGCTGGCTTGGGCAGCTCGCAATCTCATCATCATAAAAACAGAGCAAGCAACTCATACCAATGCAGAGCTGCACTGTGTTTTACATTGTTTCTTGCAGCCAGCTACCACTTAGTGAACCCATGTCCATGTATACTGCTTATACTCATGACTAATGGTCTCTCTTCCCCTCTCTTTTTGCAGTGAATTGATACCTCCTGAGCAATGCTTCCTACTGCTGTGTAATGGGTAGTTCTGAGGGGCATCCAGCAACAGTGGAGGACAGATGGAGGTCAGCCTTCCTCCTCTCATGTGAGCTAATAGTTCTCGTGACATTGCTTGACATTTGTCTCAACCATGCACATGGAAGGGAGAGTGCAAGATAGCAGTTTTGAGTTCAGACACTGGGGGCCAGATTGCCTCAGAGGAGACAGAGAAACCAACACCTTCCAGGGAAGGACAACTGCCAGACTGAATGACAAGAGGACATAGCCAGGAAAAAAAATTACCATGCCATTACACAGGAGAGGCTGAAAATTTAGTGAGATGCTGGCACTGCTGCCCGGAGAAGAGTGGGTGCCCCATTCCTGATGGTGCTCAAGGCCATGGATGGGGTCCTGGGCAGCCTGAGCTGGTGAGAGGCAACCAGACTGCGGCAGAGATTGGAACTGGATGGGCAGTGAGGTCTCCTCCAATCTAACCGTGATGTGATTCATCTGCCAGTCCGATAACAGACAGAAGGGGAGGGGTTGTACTAGCCACAGTGTGCCTGTGAGCCGCTCTGTGCTGTTTTATCTGGATGAATGTCTGGGTGAAGGTCAAGTTATGACCCATTCATTCAAGCATTTGCACATTTCTCCACTGCCAGCACAGTTCTGTTCATCCTCCAGATGATGTGACCAGCTAGAGACCCTCTAAATTAGAGACCCTCTAAATATCTGTGCTAAAATGTCTTGATCAGCCTCGGGGGCCTGGATGCAAAACTAGAGTGTGTGTCTGAGACGCAGCAGAGAAGAGGAGTGCACGGTCTCCCTACAGCCAGTGGAAGGACAAGGATCTTCATGAGACTGTATTATAGGAGGGGCTCATTGCCCATCAGTGAGAACCCTCTCTTGTCTATCCACAAGTGTTCCTCGTCATCAGGTGCCCAGATGGACATCAGATGAACGTGGAAGGTGTTAGCAGAAGATCCCGGAGGAAAGAAAAGAACCCATTTCCAACAAATGGGTCCTTAAACAGAAGTTGCCTCTCATTCCAGGAGAAAAAGCTCCTGAACCAGATTGTACCACAGCTTTGAGAAGAGAAGCCAATTCTATAGGCCTTTCAAGCAGAGAGACAGTAGATGCAGATACAGAATGAAGAATTGAAGGGAATATGCTGTATATTGAAGGGCTGCTGTGCTGAATGCCTTGGCTAGGTTTCACTTCCCTTTCTGCAGCCACAACACTTCAGGGGGCAGTCACAGCTGTGCCTCAGCAGAGACAATTGAAGCAATATGAAGACAATATTACATCCAAAATTTAGTGGAATCAGCAAAATCAGCCAGGCAGATTCACTCCAGCATTTTATGTTGTTTTTCTAAAGAACGCTGCTCGCAGGCATTTGCATAATGAATTCTGCTCTGAGTGACTTTGCTCTTTCACCTTCAACAGCTGATTGCTTTTGGCGTGGAGGCAGGCAGCACTGCCTCTGGGCCAGCCAACACGGGGCCACAGGGGATGGAGTGCTCTGACTGCAGGCGTGGCCCTGCCAGCACTTTGCACGCAGAGTGCCGCAGGGCTGCATGATCAATCCAAGCTTTTCTCTTTGTTCTTTGCATCTGGCTGGCTGGGGAGTGCTGCTAGGGTCAGAAGAGAGGACAGGATGTGGGGAGAGGGACATCAGGCTGCTGAGGTCATGGCACAGGGTGACAGCAACCGCATGCTTGAGGGAGCAAGCTGAATGTCGGTGTCTTGGAGGCAGATACGGCAAGCAGAAATGTGAAGAGCAGAGGATGCCTCAGTCAATCCGTGGCATTTCCTAGGAACTCCACAGCCTTGCCTAAGCCAATTCCCACCTCCTCCTGCCTCTCTTTCTGTTCATTTGAACCAGCTTGGCTGCCCACAGTGCTATCTGCACAGCCCTGGCTTGGGATCACAGAACCACAGCATGGTTTGGGTTGAAAGGGACCTTAAAGATCATAGAACTGTAGAACCATAGTATGGTTGGGTTGAAAGGGACCGGAAAACCCACTCAGCCCCAGCCTCTGCCATGGGCTGGTTGCCATCCACCAAATCAGGCTGCCCAGACCCCCATCCCACCTGATCTTGAGTACCTCCAAGGATGGTACACACTGAACCCTATGAGGTGCATACCCTAAACAGCACTGGGGTATCTCTTTAACAAAGGAAGGTTGAACACATTTTTCTGAAAATGAAGAATGTTTCTGTTTCTTTTGGTTTCCTATCAATCTGGAATTAATACCTGGAAAAACATCAATATTTTAAGACTGTTAAACACTGGGACTGGTTTCTGAGTTTAAATAGAGCCATTGGAAAAGATATGATCCTCATTGTTGTCTTGTAAGGTTCATTAGTAATTCAAACTTTCCAAAAACAATAAGTGATTTTATCCTGCTGTTACAAGAAAAAGGAGAGAAGTAAAAAGAAATACAAAAATCAAGAGCAATGAGGAAAAATAACAGAAAGAAGGAGGAGAAGGAAAAGGAAAAGGAAAGCGGAAGACGGAAGGAAGTTGAAAATTAGTGTATGATCCTGAAACAAGCACACACAAAAGCTTCTAGGAAAAAAAAACATCGAAATGAGCATCAGGAAAGCGTTAAATACACGAAGAGATAACACTAGTCTCTGGAAAGAGATTTATTTCTGATGTGTCGATACTTTAAAAGCAAAGCACGTATACAGATGCAAGGTGATAGCACTGAATTCTCTAGGACAAACCCCACCGAAGACAAAAGGTGCTTGGTTTGAACCTAGCCCAGGCTGGAGCCTTCCATGAACATCTCTAAAAATGTATTCCTTTGTGCCAGGACATACACGGAAAAAAACAAGGGCCAAGACTTCCACTACCATGTCATCATTTGGAAAAGCAACGGCTGGGGAGCTCTTGTGCTCCTGTCAAGATAAACCCAAAACCCAGAGGGTTTCTGCTATGTAATGGGATCCTGAGAGTTTGAGATATACCTTCTTTCATGACCCAAGCTGGCAGAGCGGTGGCTTTCAAATCACACAAGAGTGTCTAG